TAAACCCTGCATTAAGCGACCCATAACTACACACAATGTAAAACCTACTTCAAGCGCTGTTAATATTCAGCCGCCGCCGCCACCGCCGCCGCCGCCGTCGTCGTCATATATCATACACGAGAGAATCCTCTATACACATAATTTACGTTATATCAAAAGCAGTTCTAGTATCTCATAAGTAGTATTAGAGTAAATGGTTACTTCCGCATGCCGCTGGTCTTGTCTCGGACTTGTCCTATTTGGAAGTCATCAATAGATCTTATATATATAAATCTTGTTAGTATTTGAGTATCCCCTATGCACACATATGTATGCGGATCGTGTCTATCATAAAACGGCAAAGACACTCTGGCGCGGCGTTCAAGTATCAAAAGCTTTCTTGACACAGGCTTTTTCGCCTGCCTCCGAAGGCTTTTGCATAACAATATGACAGCGTTAGAAGAGCAATCATTGCAGATGCAGATTACGATAGCTCGCTGCAACAAGAGCAATGTTATGCTGGTACCAAGGAAGTTGTACCTTATGCTCCGTAACAGCAATAGCTGATCGTCTTTCATATACCGCAAATATATGGCCTGTACTTTGTGGCTTGTTTCATACTGCACATCGGGTTTCGCCGAATCGACCTTTTCGGAGCCGTATAATACCGCGAAACTCTTTTCGCTTAGGACCAAACGATACCCCAGCCTGGTCCGTCTACTGTGGTAACCGCTGTATTAGGTCTAAGATATTAGTTTGTATTCAAGGCAAAAAAAGAGGCACACATATACATATATATTCAGAGTTCCCTATAAACGTGGACACACACATGGACGGCGGGTTATTATCGAAAATAATGTTGCATTGCACATTCTAATACTTAGTGATAGAGCATTCTGTGTACGATTACATATCTCGAGGGTCTTTGTTTCACCGCTCTGGCATCGGTTCATTTTACACACATTGGTTCACTGCGTACTTTCCCTTTCTGGGGCAACCACAGGGACGTCTGTGTCTTAATCAAATGCCAGTTGAAAGCATATAAAAACTGCCCGCTTGTTCTTCGCTATAGCCTTTTTACCCAGTCGGAACTGAAACGAGAACGTAATATGCGAAATGTAAGCACAGCTGAACTTCTTGTCTTCCCGTTTTGGAATGGTCCATCACAATCAACATAGCGTAGCCCATTTTGATAATATCATATTCATAGGTTATACTCGTAGAGCTGAAACCTAAATAGGGAAAGCATTGCTTCCAACTGGTAACATCCTTTTAGTCGTTACTAGCCTTCGCCGCTACCATCTATGTCATTCGGGGCCGCCATATTGGCCGCCGCAATCGTGATAGTTAATGTGTGTTAATTATTCCTTATCCTTGATTCTGTCGCATCATGGACCCTTCACTCCGATCTAACTTTATACAACGTCTCAGATCCTCCTGTTCTCGTCGAATTTCTCATTTCGGTTATTCGTCTCCGTAACGCTACTGTGAATCGCTTCTAAACCACCTGAGGGGTGTTTCTTGGGTCAGGCAGCTGTCCCACGTAATGTGGTAAACCTAGGCCAGCGACCTAGAAAAAACCGGTTACTTCATTCCACCTTCCTGTTGCCAAAGCGGATAAAGACATCTGCAGAAAGTAAGTCATCTGACGGACAGATTTGTGTAACGGAATCCATCAACGGAAGAGACTCACAAGTCAAGGGGCAATGTACAAAGCCTTTGAGGGGCAGAAATTGTTTAAAACTTAGTTTTACCCTCCCTCTTTCTCTCTTGCGATGCTCCAGGATCCATTCTACTAGAATAAGCTACTACACTTCTGAGGAAAGAAACCTGTCGAGAATTTCGTGTGTCTGACCCGCCCAAAACACTGACGGAAGTTTTCGATTCTCGTTTTTGCCATTGGGCAGTTAGAGTTTACGCAGCCGCCGAGAGAATAGCCGAAGAAACAAGTCGCATCTACTTAACTTTTAGTCAAAGAAAGTGAAAGGCCGATTCGATAGTATCTGAAGCGTGCAGGAATCGGTAGAGGTGAACTGGAAAGGGAGAATGCCAGAAACCAATCCGAGCGTTGCGGCACTAAAATATCAAAAATAATAAGCAGCTTTACAGCTGTGAAGCCGTCCGGAACACGTCGGAGCCGCAAGGCGCGACGGTCCTTCGAAGCACTCCGAAGCTTAAAGGCATACGAAAGCGGAAGAGGAACGCAAGTATGGCAAGCGCATACGGCCTTTGTGATCACTGAGCCGGTCGCAACATTAACGACGTGTGGCGCGTGCAATGACGCGACTGGCCTTTGTCGCCTACAGTGTTCGAAAACGCAAAGCGGCCGATTAAGCTTGACCTTTGTTTTGGGTCTCAAGAAATGGTAATATTTTATGACAGGCGTGTGTGAAGGCGACACTGAATCAACTATGATAACTATGGATGTAATTAATTGGTAGACTTATTTTTTCCTGGCGTACATTTCTATAAAGGACATTGAGGATAGCTGTAAAATGACGTTACGCCTTAGGTTCGCTGGGATTTACAAGATACGTCAATACATGTACTATTTTAGATACAGGAGGATAACAAGAGTCTCCCCAAAACAGATACATTTTAATTTGTTCCAATAATTTATGCGACTAGACATATTATCGGGTTTGATAAAACAGAAATAGGCCCTACCTATCGATCAACCTAGCCGGTTGACAAGCTTTGACGTATTCAGTTGTTGCCTTAAAAACACCGCGCTTCGCAACAGCATTGTGGTATTTATTCAGCTTTGGGTGGACATGCGTTAGCTTTAAAAGCAAATATAACCGGACAGCTATTAAAAAATAGGAACGATCCAGCGGATTCTAATAAGCAATCTTTGTCTAAGCTTCATTATTTTTGATTGCCAATCTACTATTAACTGGTTGTGATTCCACATCTGTGACTTCTTATACCTGTAGGTGCTTTAGGTACTTACAACAGTCTCCCAGTGAGGGCTGACCAGATTTGTTGGTTCATGCCGTGTGCATATCTAATAAACTTGAGACAAACACTCCATGGTAACGAAGCCAGTTAACTTTGAATGCTAGGACTAGAAGTTATACGATATTTCTGAGATCAGATCAGACATTGTGCGTATGATGTTCTGGTAAATTAATGCGAAGGATGCACAAAGTTACGATGACTCTATTGTAATGATCGGAAGATAGAAAAGAATACTGCATATTTTTCTTATGTTTTTGCATTGCTCCTGAGGCCGTGTTTAATCGCTGCGGGCACTTCGGCGAGGGCTAGTTTGGGTTGCATAATTCGCATCTTTAGGTTTCTATTTTGTTGAAAAGTCATAATCAACGCCGCAAGTAATAGCGTTCCCAAACGTGTTTTAGAACACATGGAAGCTCATCGAGACACATCCAAGTCAGAACATATAATGATGCCTAACCTATAGAAGAACCTCCCGATAAATATGAGAGGGTGTGTCAAGCCGGATACAAGTTGTCTCTTGCTTCAGCTGCCCAGGAGCAACTCATGGAAACACGAATGAATAAAGCAACAAGTACACCAATATCCACTACGTCACTTATGAGCCCACTATAGATCGCTAAGTTTAACTTGCCCACTACACTGCTAAGGAGACATGTGGCCTCGGATCCGCCCTATCTGGCGAACACCCGCGGAGGCCCGGTCTGTGATAGATACCTCACGCACAGTAGACAGGCCTTCATGAGAAGCCTCTCCTATTAGTACACTAGCCTAACGCCACACGATACGCAACAACGTAAGGCAGTATGGTACACATAGCGCGACAATGCGCGGTGAGATCGCTACAATCTGCTTTGCCAACTGTCGGGATCTCGCATAACCTTCTCGGCTCTCAGCAATAGAACTATAGCTTGAAACGGCAGCCGCTGATCACAGTGATTATTGATGGCAAGCCCCCACCTCGTGAGATTTGCGACAACCGCCTCGTATCCTAAGAATGGTCCTTTGCTCGGCCAGGATGGAGCTCCATAGGGTGGAGCAACAACAGGCTCGCAATGGAAAAAAACTGCAGATTTATACAATTAGGAAAATGCTAAGATTACATTTGTGAGAAAAAAACAAGCCTACAGCATTCGTATCAAGTAGAAACCTATCTTTATTCTCCATATTTAGACGTACATAGTTTCTCCACTCTAAGTCTATTATTACTTCACCCTCTGCGCATTGTATGTGCAGGATAACGCTATAATATCAAAAAGTAGTAATTTCGGCCAAAGTGAAAGATCCGTTCGGATCGAATTTTTGTCTAGAAAATGCACCATATTGACTGAATTCAGTCTTTTTCTAAATTCGTATTGCTCTACGCATGATAGAGACGCTGCCTCTATCGACATATGAACTATGTGTACAAGATCATAAGGGCACTATTTCATGGAATATCAGTAGCCTTCATAACGATCAGCATCTGAGAACTGACTGGCAACTTCCTGGCGATTCCAGAGCTTGTATCATGATTGTAGAGAGAGCTAAATACTACGATGCGTAACGCTACCATAGATAGGCGTTGAAAAGTTTTAGCCCCTTCAAACAAAAAGAGACAGTACAAAAGCAAAAATCAATCAGGCTCTAGCGTAAACGACAAAGATTTTCTGCCAATAAAAAAAACAATGGCTAGGTTACAAGAAGATTCAGTTTTCACCAAAATTATGCAGTGACACGTTGGGCTACAGCATATTACCGAGTATACGACAAAAACGTATATACTTACAACGACTGATATACAAATAATAGTCTTACATTCGGGGTAGTGCAGGTTGTCGGAGCAAATCAATTGCTAAGAAAGTAGACTCCTTTTCTTCTAACTTATTTCTGCTGTAAATATGTTTTGTCTTCCCTCATAGATGTTTAAGGCAGGGATAACGCATTTGCATACACGGCCCACGTAGTCATACAAATATATCGGTCTCAGGCGATAACTTGCTTATCATTTTTTCGTTCTTGTTATTTTCTACCTTTGTCTCCCATTTCATTCTATGACGCGTGTCAATTTTAAATTTTCTTAGGTATTTGTTGGACCTCGGCGCCAATGTGGACCGGTGTACATTGCGAGGTACAGCCCTTCATGAAGCTGTTTTCGGTGGTCGACCTGGGACGACCGCTTTACTCGTTTACTCCGGCGCGACACTCACGAAGGTAAACCCGTCTACCGGCCTCACACCGATGGATGTTGCGGTTCGGGCGACGCCACCAAATGAAAGGATCATCGAGACGCTGAATGGTTTGTAGAGCAATATATTGAAAAACGAGTATGCCATTTTTAGGTCCTTTGTTCAGGGAAAGCTATAGCTTCAGAAGCACGAGACAACTGTAACGGTGTTGATATGCTAAAAACGTAACTCTAGTATTTGTATTTTAGAGGGTACTTTACGTTTTCATTTAGCAGCGCCTTTTCAATTGCAAATAAAGCATATCATATAGGAAAGGTCTTCGGTTTTAATTTGGTTGGACACATGCAAATTGATGCGGTCTTGAACTTAATAAATTATTATACTTTTTTTTAATAAAACGTAGTGCTTATTTCGTAGGTAAAACTAGCTCAGTTACACGTGGTGGTATGAGTTGCAATGAACGCCGTACGGGTTAGTGTAACCTTGAGGCAGGTTTGGCCTACGTTCGTATTTGTTCAAAAAGAAGCGTTAAGACGGCGCTTTGAGCTCTTTGCCTCCAAACCTTATACGTAAATCTTCGCTCTTCCTTCCGTTGGTCCTGTCTAGGGGACGCACGGGTGATTACCTAACTTAACCTACTTCGTTAATGGATCATATGCGGCAAACGTCAAATAAGTAACATAGGTGGATTCATCGTTCATGGATTAAAACGTTCTTACTTAAATTGGTTCGTGAAAACCTGTTATTTGGTAACTTTTATGCAGTACTTTATTTTGAAAAAATATTGTTCATGGGCACTTATACTTCCGTCTCGTATTTTATTTTAGTAAATATACCTGTTCTATCATTATTCTTTATTTAAATCTCAAGAGTTTCCTGCAACGAACAGTGTCATCAGCCAATGTCATGTCCCACAAACACAAAGGCACAAACTCTCGCTCCGCCACCTTCCCCTGAATGAAAGCAAGATGGTGGCAGGCTGTTCGCAGGTGAGACAGGCCAGTTTTTAACATGAGTGCTAGCATCGCCGCCGTATGTAGATTATGGGTTGGGCATTTGGGGCAAACATTTCCGACTTTAGGTGCCCGAACTATTTTGTCTATTTGGTGATATTATTTCGTTAGAACGACTTTGGGGGTACGGCATTCGATGGAGCAAGCGAAGAGGCTCTCAGTGGCTAGCGAAGGTGTGTGGAGGCTGTGGACAACGACATGAAAATTTGCCTAATGCATCTCGCCCATATCGCGCCAAATGTTGACATGCGCGTTGCCTACAGCTGGTCCTGCGTAATCTGCTTGCACTGCTTTGAGCTTGGAAGGCTTAGACACATACATTTAATAGGAAGTCGGAAAGTCCTTCGGCAAAGGACGTGGCGTTTAAAGGTAAAGGGTGCAAATAACGAGGGTGTACTCTAGGCGCTGCGCCCTAGAGGAAGGTACACTTTTTCACTATAGGTTGTAAGAGGAGGGGCTATGACGAAACAGGACGGCGAGACTAGAGCGAGCGAACCCGAAATGTAACGTATTTCAACGAAGTTGCTTACGTCAGTGATATGCGACCTGCAAACTGTCATAGACCGGACATGTTGGCCGGTCGTATGTTGGCAGAATTGTATGGCGTACTTGCTTTGCCTATAGAACTGCTTCCCTTGTTTCGATGTGGCGTCCTTGCGTTCTTTACAACTTCACTAATCGTTCGAACAACAATCTGGGGTCGAAGTCTGACAGACAGTTATGTCGACGTCGAAACAGAAAGCAGTAGGCAACATAAGACAGCCAACAAATTGATACCGGTAACCCCCATCATGATATACACACCTGTATAGCTGTATACATCGATAGTGCTGATAAAAAAATAAGTATATCTCGACCCGGGGTACACGAGGTCCGACTATACCGGAACTCAAAGGGATCATACGTACAATCATAAGGAATCGATCTGTTTCATTTAGGTTATTAAGCCTAATTGAGCTAAGAATCGAAATCTGATTTTTATTTTACACGTGCGAATGATCCATTTTCGAGGAGCATATGATCCATATACTGCCTACACATCAAGTATTCATCTGCTAGATTGCTTTTAATATTCCGTTATGGTTTTAGACAAAAGAGTGTCACTCAAGTCCTCTAGAGTTTCATTCCGCTATAGTCAAACAAGGGTACTTATTTATTGCTTAATTACCTAAACATTAGCTAACCTATCAGACCTGGCCTGACCCAAATTTGAATAAAGTAAAATTGACTCCTGGAGCTACAGTCTAGTGGACCAATGCGGGAAGAGGACTTTGTAAATAATAACTATCATAGGAGGGGATATGCGGGTTTTTTCAGAGGTGCGGCACATGTGTCCTGCTTATTAATATAAATGTATACAATTGTATGCTACACAATGTTTGTTTCATGTGCCATGACAACAAGGGGCGTCCTTGTTTGTGTAGATGACAGTATTTTCAATTTAATCAATGCAAGCTAGCCACGTTAATTCGGGTTTTTCATACAAATCGTGAGTTCGAAATCTCGTGACCGTTGCGGTTGTGCAGTGATAATATATTTGCGGTATCAACTAAAGGACACTGAGTTGACCTATATTTGAATCGGGGCTTAGAAGTTCTTTGACCCTTCACTAAATAATTTTCCAAGTCATAGAAACAGTGATAAATACAGTCATAATCTCTTCTTAGGTGTGATGCCTTCAGACTGTGATGCACAGAGGCCCATTCTGCCCGGATAGCTAATTATTAAAGCAATCCGTTGAAACAGCGGTACTGACGCCTGTCGTAAAAGGGACGCCAGCTTCAAGTCGATCAAGTGGAAAAAGAGCCTAAACACTGATAGTAAGGATAAAATGGCGGTAGAACAAGGCACTGAGTATAAGAAAGGGCCGAAATTTCGGAAAGACAAGATACCTGAAAGAATAAAAGGAGAGACGAAACCATGCCAAAACCCGGCCACTGCTCAAGTGATTCCCACGGAAACGTATGATGACGGTGCAAGAAGCAGCTCCTTCCTTACGCTCGTACCGTCTGCAGTGCCCAGAACCACCAGCCCTTACGTCCGAGACGCCGAGACCAAACACGCGGCGGCGACACGCCACTTATATCTTTACCCTTACAATAGGCGAGTAAACGTTTATTGTAGATATTTTCCTCAGTTCCTTAAAATAGAGGTTTATGAAAGGAAGTGACATGGCAGATACCATTTAAGAAGATATGGGGATTACGGAAGACTCAATGCCTCGATTGAAAGATGAGGATCGGCGTGCATTAATGGCAATGTGTTCTTTCCTCTAATAAAAATATCAAGTCAAATTAAAATAGATTGCTGATCGTAAGTTGAATAATGAAAAATTTAAATTGATTTTTTCAGCTTTAGATGTTAATTGGGTAATAACTTCATATTGCGCCTCGAGATGGAGGAGCATCTACGTGAAGTTGCAACTCAGCCCCTTCACTTGAAGCCAATTAAGGGCCAACAAAAAGCTGCTTTAACCACGCAGGGTTTCTAGCAAAATCCTGAATTAAGTTTCAATTATGAAGGGCGTGAAGGAAAAATTTTTGCCACACAATAGAAGATTTTGATAGATCTTTTTAGGTATCCGCAGATATTACGAAAAAAAACGTGAAATAACGATGAAATAAAAATTGATGTATCGCATGATTTAGACGATATCGGGTAATCTAATCTACATTGTGTAAAATAGAGGTTTAGACATTTAGACATGAATCTAGAGATTAAATTCGGTTAACCTAAAGAAACAAATTGTTTGACCAGTGCAATCGTCCGATCTTGGTAATAGGTCTATCAGTATATATAAAATGGCTACCTCTTGAATTTTGTGAAAATTCTTAATTGTGTTAAAGGACGCCGTACTGTTACTCCCCACCGCTAGAGACTGTTTCAACATTTCGATAATTCCTTTGGGGTTTGAGTGGTAAGGAATGTAACAGGTCTTCGGCCATAAAAACTGTCATTAGTCATGTGCATTTTACAGTTGAAAAACCGTAAAAAGCTTGTTAACGAAAGCCATTAACGAAAGAAAAGGTCCTTCATCAAAGTACGCATAGCCCCACCGTCCCAATTGAAGCGGTACTTCCCACGCAATCCCCTAATACCATACGATATATCTGTGAAGTGACTAATACCACCGGGTGGCCCATTTAGAAAAAGGCCTCGTTTTCCAATCAATATCGCTCCATTTTTTGACAGAATTTAGCTATGTAAATCGTATTTTTATTGCTAGTATGTTTTTTTTTTCACTCGATGTGTATCGGGATATGATTTTAAACATAGCTACTCGTAAGCAGAGTTGCCAGAACAAAGTCTTGTTAAAATCGTTAGTTGTTAAAGGCCAGGCCTCAATACACCGAGCATTGTCAGTCTCTAATGCTACATAAGGATCTGATGGTCGGCGTGTTTCTTTTAGGTTTGCCACCTTCGAACCCTTCCCAGTGGCAGCAGGCCAAATGCCGGCGAGATAAGTAGGCAAGTTATTTATCTATGAGGATCAAGTGATACAGCTCGTTAAAAGTGAGCCTCGTTTCGCTACTGTAAATTTTTTTGTTATTTTAGTCACCCCTCTCAAACAGCAGCGCTCCCTGAACGATCTTCGTTCTGGAGAAGCTGTTCCGGAGCGCCACTATCTAAAATACCTTTAACGTCCATGACCACCCTTTGTTTCGTGGAGCTGACGAAACCGGAACAGTAGGACCAACTATTGAATTAGAACTCCGTGACTGCCGCTATTATTGTCGATTACACTAGCGCCGCTACTACCGCGACCTGTTGCAGGACTTACATCTCTAGGAAGCTATCTGTAAACCGTATTTGCTCCCGCGGAAGCCGCCAGCAAAGCTGGTAGCCGACCAACACTGCTTCTGCTGGCTCTTCTCTAACTGCTCACTGTTTGATAGGGGCACCGCTCGCATCGGCTATTCTGGATGTTGAATTTGGGTGGCTCCTCACTCTTATGGGTCGATGAAAGCTCCAGCTACTTGCCATGGTTCAACAGGTCGTACCGTTGTCCATAAAATATACCGACACCCATAGCTCATCCAGGACCAGCACGTTAGCCTCGTGCACATAGAGTTGTACGTTTGGTCCACGCAGTCGAT